GGGCTCTGTCCCACTGATGTTCACTGCCCTGCAGGTTCTGGCTCCTGAAGCTGCTGGCACTGGTGGGCCTCTGGGCTGCCAGCTTCTTCATCCCTGAGGACAACTTCATCCAAGGTGTGTTCCCCACCCTACCCAAGCTGGCAGCCTGGGCACCCCTCACAGCCCCCACCTGCCCTTAGCTATCCCCACCTCTGCCCTCTCCTCCCAGCCTGGCACTACACGGGTGTCTGTGGGGGCTTCGCCTTCATCCTCATCCAGCTGGTGCTGATCACGGCCTTTGCACACACCTGGAACAAGAACTGGTGAGTGCCGGGGTGCCGGGTGGGCGCCCACCTCCTGCCACCTCTCACACACTGTCCCACAGGCTGACAGGCGCCGCGCAGGACAAACGCTGGTACCTGGCCGTGCTGCTGGCCACGGCTGCCTTCTACACCCTTGCCTCCGCCGCCTTCTCCTTCCTCTACAAGTTCTACACCCACCCGGCTGCCTGCCACCTCAACAAGGCGCTGCTCACCATCAATGGCAGCCTCTGTGGCATCATGTCCTTCATCTCCATCACGCCCTGTGTGCGACTCAGTGGGTATCTCACGGCACAGTGGGGGTTGCCGCACTGGACGACCAGCTGTGTCCTGGGTTAGGGGTGGCCGTGCCCCCCAGCTCAGGGCCAGCACTCGAGCTCTGGAGGAGAACCCAGCTCCCCAGGGCTCCTGACAGCCCTTCCTGTACCTTGGTGCAGGGCATTGGGCAGGGGGGTGGCAGCAGGGGGGGCTACCTAGGGCCCAAGCAGAGCTCATCCACCAGCTTACGGCACACCAAGAATTTCAGTGACACCCTTGTCCCCGCCCTTGCAGAGCAGCCGCGGTCAGGGCTGTTGCAGTCCTCGATCATCAGCTGCTACGTGATGTACCTCACCTTCTCCGCGCTGTCCAGCCGTCCCCCAGAGAGAGGTGGGTGCCCCTGCCTGCCACCAGCAGCCCCTGCCATGGGGGGGGCCCCCGCCTGTCTCACCTCTGCCTCCTCGCAGTGCTCTACAAGGGTCAGAACCTCACCGTCTGCTTCCCGGGGGTCCGGCAGGACGAGCTGCAGACAGAGGACACCACTGTGGCCATGCTGGGCGCTGCCATCATGTATGCCTGCGTGCTCTTTGCATGGTATGTTTGCCCACAGGGAGCAGGGCCCCTGCAGCACTGGCCCAACCGACACCACACAAGGACCTCATTCCCATGGCCAGCAGAGCTGGGAATGTCCCGAGGAGTGGCAGGGCCAGAGCAGATGGGGTATTGGTGGGTGGGCAGGGGCAGCACAGGGACCCCAGACACAGCACAGCAGGGCTCCTGCAGCCATGGGGGACCCGTGGGATGGGCTGAGGGCTTGGCACAAAGCAGTGTGTGCCCACGTTATGATTCCTGCCTCTCTCCTGGGCACAGCAATGAAGCCTCCTACCTTGCCGAGGTTTTTGGGCCCCTCTGGATGGTCAAAGTCTACAGCTTCGAGTTTGAAGTGAGTACAGATACAGCTGTGCCCCATGCCCTTCTGCCACGGGCACCCCAGACCCACCACCCCAAGCCCTTATTGCAGCCCCAGCATGGGGCAGGTCTGTCCAGCCAAGCACAGGCGCTGCCCACAGCACACCCTCCTGCCCCAGTGCCAGGGAGGGCTCAGCCCAGCCACTGTGGCCGTGGGGCTGGGCAGCTACCACTCTGCTGTTCCTGCAGAAACCCTCCTGTTGCTTCTGCTGCCCTGAGAAGATGGAGGAGGAACTGAGAGGTGGGTGCACAGTGGGTGCAGGAAAGCAGGCAGAGCCTGTGTCCCAGCCTGGGGGTGCCAGTGAGGGGAGCCTGCAGGAGCTGCCGTGCCCCCACGCTCTCCCAGGATCCGAACAGACATGTGAGCAAGTGGAGGAGAGAGCCAGGGGACAGTTCATTGTCCAGGATGAGCAAGACCGGGTGGTCTACAGCTACTCAGCCTTCCACTTCGTCTTCTTCCTTGCCTCGCTCTACGTCATGATGACCCTCACCAACTGGTTCAGGTAGGGACCCACACTGCTGCCCAGCCTTCCCTGCTCTTGCTCCAGCCCTCAGTGCCAGGCCACGATGCTGTCACCAAGCTGGTGCCTGCTGGGGACGCGCAGGGCTCTGTGCCCACAGACCTGCACTGCTCCGGCCAATGACCAACAGCAGCCGTGCAGTGAGGTCTGCAGGGCTGGAGGGTCCACGGCAGGTGGGACATGCCCAGGGACACACGACTGCTGGGACACAGGGTGGCCTGGTGTCTGCAGCTGGCACAGGAACCCCATGTCAGCATCCCTCAAGCACCCAACACCTGCCCTTTCCCACCAGCTATGAAAACGCAGTGCTGGAGACCACCTTCACGCATGGCAGCTGGTCAACCTTCTGGGTGAAGGTGTCCTCGTGCTGGGCCTGTGTCCTGCTCTACCTGTGGCTGCTGCTGAGCCCCTTCTGCCTCCACAGCTCATCAGAGCACCAGCGCAGCAGCACGGGGCCACGCATCGTGCGGCGACGACGTGCCCCACAGCGCATCAATGTCGCCACATAGTCCCTGCCAGGATGAACTGTACCTGGGGCTGGTCCCTGCTGTGTGCCCTAGCCCTGCTTGGTCCTCCTGGCCTCCCCTGATCCCCCATCCCAGGAGACGGAGGCATCTGAGAGTCTGAGGGGGTCCTAGAAGGTGGATGCTTCCAGGGACACCAGCCCTGTGCTGAGCCAGGACCACCCAAGGGGCTGGAGCAAGCCAGAGGCAGGTACTCAGCCCCCAGTCTAAATGCCCTCGCACCCACAGGGTGCACCGGGGGAGCAGGGCTCTGCCTGGCCACCCCTGCTGTGATGTGCTCATTGTAAATACCTCCTTCAATACATTTTATACAAAACTCTGAGCTGAGCCTGTGCCATCACCCCATGCAGGCTGCAGCCACAGAGGGGGAAGAACGGGGTGCCTGCAACACCCCACCACAAGAGGTGGCACCATGGAGAGGGAATGGCAGGGCTGTCCCAGGACACCCCAAGCCAGAAGCACTGCTGCAGGTGCTCACAGAGACCAGTGCATGTGAGGGGCTCTGCCAGACCCCTGTGCTGCAGGCAGGGCCCAGTGTCCACTGGGGAAGTGCTGCCTTGCTTAGTCATGCCATGAGCATGGGCTGCTGGGCAGCCTACCTGGAGCCACCAGCACATCCCTCCAGGCCCTTTGCTGGTACACGCCGAGTGTCCTTGGGGCCGGCTTGATGGAGGCAGAGGGGGCCTACACAGCCCATGGGCAGCACCTGGCCATGGTGAGCAGAAGCTCCTTGGGCCCCCGGGGGCAGCTGAGCCCACACCGACCCCTGCTGCCGCCCCCAGGCCCACGGCTGCCTCTTCTGCGACACTAGCACCAACGACGGTACCGTCGTGGTGGAGGCGGTGCTGCACCTCGCCCGGCGAGGAGCACCCGGCTGCCGCGGGACCCGGCCCCGTGCTGCAGGGCCAGGCTGACGCTGCTGTTCTGACCCTGCGGGCAGGTAAAGAGGACGATGAACAACGGCCTCAGCGCTAAGCTGGACCTCGGCTTTGCCCCGCGGGCGGCTCCGCACTGCTGCCGGACGGAGAGCGGGGCACGGGCTCGGCCCACGCCGGCCGTGCCGCAGCGCGGTTCTACCTCGGTGCGCAGGCCCGGCCGCCATCTCTCCACCGCCGCCCTCCGACTGACATCGAGCCCCGGCTGCGTCCTGGCCTGCTCCGGCGCCATCCCGTCCGGCTTCGCTCCTCGAGCCTCCCCGCTCTCCCACCCGCCCCGGGGCGTTCGCCCCTTAACTCCGTTCCCCGCGTTGACCCCCGGTGATGCCCCAGGGACCGCCCAGGCCCAGCCCCACCTTTGTTCCTCACCGTGAAGATGCCGCCGCTCTGAGTCCTCCTCTCCGCGGCCTCGATCATTCCCGCGGTGGTGCCCGCTCCCCCCTCACCCCCCGCACGGCGGACGGACAAGCAGACACGGCGTGCAGGGCTCCACAGCTACTTTAATAGGGGACAGCACCGCGCGGCGCGGCGGGGGGGCCCGGCGGGGCCCGGCCCAGGGCGGTGCGGGGCATCCTGCCGGCGGGGCCGGCCCCGAGGCAGCGGCCTGGCGCGGCCGCCCGCTACTTGTTGCCCTCCTTCTTCTCGTCAGCCTTCTTCTGCTTCTGCTGCATGATCTCCGAGTCCCTGCGGGGAGCGCGGCGGGGCTGGCGGCGGAGCCGGCACCGCCACAGGGCGGGAGCGGGGAGCGGGGCGGGGGAGGCCGGCGGGGCCGGCCCGGCGCTCACCTCTGCTTGCGGGCGGCGGCCGAGAGCCCGTCGTCCCGCCGCTTGCCCTTGCCCGAGTCGCTCTGCTTCTTCAGGTTCTTCTGCCGTGCCAGTTCGCGCTGGTTCCCACCTGCCACGGCGCGGCCGCCTCAGCACGGCCCGTCCCGGCTCCGCGGGGCGGCCGCTCCGCACCCTGCGCCCACGGGCTCCGCCGCCCTCCCGCCCCGGCCCAGCCGCTGCCCGCAGGCCGGGTCCCGGCACGCGGCCGGGGCACGGCACGGCACCCCCAGGTCGGCTCTCCGCACTCGCGGGTCCCAGCCCGGGTTCCCCCACACTCACGGGTCATGGCGCCGCTCCTTCCCACCTCCGCTCCGCCGCCACGTCCCGCACTGACCCCCCCCGCGCCCCGCCCCGCGCCAGACTTTAAAGAACGCCATAGCCAATCACAGTGCCGGTCCCACCCTCGCTGCACTCCCACTGGTGCGTCTCTCCGGCCAGGCCCCGCCTGATTGGCCGCGGGCTGCGGCCGCCGTTCTGCCGGCGGGGGCGAAAAAGCTGGGGATGGGGCGCACGCGCCACAGCCACTCCTCGCGCAGGGGGCGCGGCGGGGCGGACACGCCCCCTGTGACATCACGAACCGTGCGGAAAGCGCTGCGGAGCAGGGGGAGGGATGCGGGGCGCAGGGGAGAGAGGGGAATGTAGCCCCGCTCTTCCCCCCCGTCCTCCCCCACCGCAACGCTCTTCTCCACCCCGGGGAGTGCGGGGCAATGCGGGGAGGACGGTGCGGGAGCGTTCCTCTCTCTTCGGTCGGGCTCCGGTGCGCTGCGGGGCCGCTCAGACCGCTTCTTCTGCCGTGGGTGGTGCAGGAGATCTACGGGGAGAGATGGCCCTGGGTGCTACCCACACCAAGACGGTGCGGGACGAGTATCCATCTCCGCAGAGCCCAATTCGCCTACGCACCCGGGGCTCGGCGGCAGCATCGGGTGGTGGCGGGGCTCCTGCGAGGCGGTGCGAGATGGGGGGTTCTGACGCTTCGATAGCCGTGAGAGCTCGGCGTGGATCACCTGCGGGCGGAAGGGCAGCTGCGGCGGGCAGGGCTCCGGTGGGACCCCCGACGGTCCCCGATGGTCCCGGCTCCTACGGGACCTCCTCCCTCCCGACTGTTCCTGACCGACTCTTGCGGGAACCCCGCCCGCCCCATCACGGCCGGTACCAGCTTCCGCGGGACCCGCCCGCTCCTGCCCTCGCACCTTGCTGGCCGGATCGAGCTCCAGGGCCCTCCTCAGGACGAGCACGGCCTCCGCATCCCGGCCCTGCTCCGCCAGCAGCTACAGGCAGAGGAGTGGGGAGTAGCGGGTGGCTGGGCCGAGGGGCGCAAAGAGGGGCGGGGCGGAGCGGGTCCCACCTGCCCCCGCCGGAGCAGCGCCCGGCCGTTGTCGGGGTTGATCCGCAGGGCTGCCTCGCAGGCTGCCAGCGCCTCCTCCGCCCGCCCCACTTTCAGCTCGGCGGCCGCGCAGTTGTTGAGGCACTTCACGCGCTGCTCCTGGAGCTCCTCTTCCTCCTCGGGCCCGGGAGGCGCTGCGGGGCGAGCGGCGGCGTCAGTGTCCCGGCCTCGCTGCCCCGGGCCCGCCCTCCCGGCCGGCCGGTCTCACCGGTAACGGGGCCATCCAGGGCGTGCAGGGCCAGCCGGTACGAGCGCAGCGCCGCCGCGAAGTCGCCCCGCGCGAAGTGGAAGTTGCCCCGCTCCCGGCGCTGCGAACCCAGGCACAGGCGGGCGGCGGGCGGCAGCGGCTGCGGGTCAGGGCCGTCCCGCACCTCCAGCAGCGTCACCTCGAACAGCAGCGGCGCCTCGGGCGGCACGTCGGGCTCTCTGTGGGCACATCGTCGGCTGCCCCCTGCCCACTCTGCCTTCCCGGCCCCATCCACCTGCCCCGGTCCGTCTGCCGCCCCGGCCCCTGCCCGCTCCAGTCCCTGCCTGATGGCTCCCCCTGCCCACCCGCCCTACCTGCCCGGGCGGCCATAAGCGTAGGGGCAGGCGGCGAGGAAGAAGGAGATCTCCCCGGGCTGCATGGTTGGGACGCCCAGCTCCAGCGCCTGCGGACAGGCATGGTGAGGCTAATGAGGCGCGGCAGCGGGCGGCGCTGACCCTGCGCCGCACCGAACGGTGCACTGGTTTAAGCTCACCTGCACGACGTCCCCGTGGCCAGGCACGAAGGTGAGCCGCGGGTCCCGCTCCACTAGCCCGCCGTCCTCCAGGGCGCCCAGGACCTTCACTGACACCTCCTGCCCCGGCCGCGGCTGTGGCCCGCCCGGCCCGGCCCGCACCACGCGCTTCCGGAGCAGCCGGTCCTCTACAGGGAAGACGGCGCTGAGAGCCCAGCCGGGATCCCCGAAACTGGCACCCTTTGCCCAGCTCTCCCCAATACCGCCCCTCACAGCCCGTGACTCCCGGCCTGGCTCGACCCGGAGTCGCCCAGGGGCTCTCACCCGTCAGGTCGCTCCAGCCGTCGGCGGCGAAGAGTGGCCCGAAGCCGCCGGGCCCCGGCACCACCAGTGCCTCCAGACGCAGGTAGAAGAGCCGCTCCTCCTCGCGCACCGTCGGCAGCGCGATAGCCGTGTGGGGCAACCGGAACCGCACCCGCCGGTCCCTGCCGGGCCCCCGCGGCCGCCCGCCTGCTCCTGTCTCCCTCTCCGGGGAGCCGCCGGGCGAGGGACCCGGCATGCCAGCCCCTGGCCTGCCTCGCCGCACGCCGCTACCAACCGGCCTCGGTCCGGGCGCCCCCGGGGCTCGGCGGCGGGTGCCCACGGCCCCCAGCACGCACAGGGCGCGTCGCCGCCGGTTCCGCCACGCCGCGACTGCCGGGGTCCGCCCGGGCCGGGGCCGCCGCCGAGCGCATCCCGCCGCGCCGTTACCTAATGCCGGGAAGCGGCTCAGGGGATTAGCCCGGGCCGGCGGCAAAAATAGCCGGCTCAGCACGAGCCCCGTCGCGGGGCTCCCGGCGCCCGCCCCGCCCGCCGTTGCCCCCCGGGACCACCCGCCCGCCGCTGTCGCGCAGGCCGTGCAATGCTGCGGCCGTAGCTGCCCGGGCGTCTCCGGTACCGGGGCGGCGGGCCAGGTCCCTGGCTCACGTTCCTGCACGTGCACCTCGAGGCCGCGGCGCGGGTGCTGCGGGCAGCAGCTGAGATCGGGCCTGGCGGGACGAACCGGGCACCAGAGGGACTTACCGACGCTCGCTATTGTTGCTGAGAGCGCCGGGGCTGATCTCTTCAACTTGCATGCAGCACAAGAATCCAGTCAGGGCAACAGCCCCTCCCTAGGTCAGCCCATCTCACTCCTGCCCTTCCTCGAGGAAAGGACAGCCTGTAGTCCCAGATGGTCAGTTACAGCCCACACCACCCAACCACAATACTGGGTCTCTTCCTCTCCCTCCTGAAGAGTAACTCACAGCTACCAGCCTGTTTCCTACCAGGAGACAAAATGATCTTACTATTAACTGGTCTTAACTGCCCTTACCACAGCCAAGCACCTGGCTATGAGAAACACTCTCAGCCCAGGCCCTACCTGTGTTTGGGTAGTCTGTAGGAAGTAGCACTCCTCCCCTACACCTGACTACTTCTGCACCAGCTTCAAAGCTCATTTATTGCTGCTGCTGAGCAGCAAGCCCCACGCCAGCCTGTTCCCTGTACTTGCACTGCTCTGATCCAACAGTCACAGTGAGCACTATGTTCCTCTAAACTCGCCAGGGCAGCACATAGACAGCAAAGGCACTTGTGATCAGAGTCCAGAAGCCAAAAATGTGTATAAATGTAGCACCTGAAGCCCAGCACACTGGGATAGTTGCAGCTGCTACACTCTGGAGGGATGGTGGTAGCTGAGGAAGGAGGAGGATGGGGTGGACGGCTGAGCTCAATGGTTAAGAACAGACGTGAGAGCTCACTGAAAGGAAGGACTCCAGCAGGAAGCTGCTGTCTGTGAAGAGCAGGATCCCAGTTTTAGGTCTAATGGGTCACCCAGGACAGAGACACTTGGTCTTAAGGGGGTCATTTTATTGTTTCACTTCTCCAAATGTACAAAAAAAATTAGAAAATAACTGTACCCCCCACCCTTCCCAAATCACAAAACAAACCAGTCTGGGGAGCCCAACAACAGTGCAGCTAAGAGACGGCAGGAAATTAAACATTACTAGATACAGCAGCTGAGGCCCATCAGCCGGTTGGCTCTCCATAGCCCAGAACTGGCCCCAGTCTGCCCAGTGCTTCCCCAATTCACAAAGAGCTCATCCTGACAAGATAGCAAGTGGGTACTTTACAAATCCTCCTTCACCTTCTTCTTGGATTTCTTAGATTTATCTTCCTCCTGCAGCACGGGAGTATTGGTTGCCTCCCGCTTCAGGTAGCTGATGAAGTCACTCACTTCTCTGCCCCCCTGCAGAAAACAGACAGTGAGGCAGGGCCTGTACCTGCCATGGGCTTCCCCTCTGCTGAGGGGGGTTCAGGTGCCAGGCAAGAGACCCAGGTGACTGCAAGCAGAGCTCTCCCCAGGGCCTGCAGAATGCAGTGCAATGTTCCCAGCAGGTACCACCAGGTGTGTTCCCAGGGTAACAGGACACAGTGCTACCCCCAACTCCAGAGAGGCTTGAGTGTAATTTGGACACTCGGACGTTCTTCACTTCTTTAAAAAGCAGTAAGAACAACAAAATACTCACCTCATACTTCTTTGGACTCTGCTTCTTGCCAGCTGGAGCAAAATAGATGGTGGGGAAGCTGCAGAGAGAGAAGAGACACCTGAGTTCCTGACACACTCTGATTTCTGTCAGACCAGCCCTGAAGGGGCTCGCACCCCACACTGTGCCCTGGTTTAACATGGCACAGCTTTGACAGCTCTGAGGCAGTAGGTGTGGCCTCCAAGGGCCTGGCCAGGTCTGCAGAGGTCACAGGTCCAAGTTTGCTGACTGACTGCTTTTGGAACAGCAAGCCCAGATTTGTTTTCACACTGCCAGGAACAGAATCACAGCAGATTCCAAAGCAGCATGACAGACCTCCCGGCAGAGTCAGGACACCAGAATCCTGGAGAATCCAGGCAGATCAATGTCCTTTTTTTTCCACTCTTCATTTCTCCAAATCAAGCTGTTGCTCAGCAGTTGCATGTGAGTCCCCACACACTCCCTCCCCTGAGGCTCTTTCAGCTCTAGCGCTGTAGGCAATGGCAGACAGAGCCAGACCCACTCACTAACACATGGTGTCAGAGCAGTCAGACGTACCCTCGGACTTCATAGGGAGAAGGCACATCATTGGCTGTAGCGTCCATTTTGGCAATGATGATATTGGGATCTTTGCTGAGCTGTGGATAAAATGAGTCCATCAGTAACCAATCCCAAACTCCAGGAACCAAGCAGTCAGCAACGGCTGGGATAGCAGTGTCAGAGGACAGCACACAAGATGCCACCTCACCATCCCTCCCCAAATGGGAGACTATCATCATGCAGATGGAAAAGATCCAAAAAGGAGCTTGGCCAATTGAGGCCAGTCACTGAATCAGGGAACATTCCTATGGCACAGCCAAGGGCAACAGACTAAACCTACCACAGATCCTGCTGACGGATGTCTGTCTGCACTTACCAGAGACGCCAAAACTCAGTCCTCAGGAAGGCACAATTATGTCCCGTTATCACAGAGGCTAAAAACAACCTGCAGGATCGTTTTGTGCTGCAAAATCCCAGTTCCCTTTTGCAAGAGTCCCACACCTACCTTCTCCCCCAGTTCTTTGTATTTGGGCTCCAGATTCTTGCAGTGGCCGCACCACGGTGCATAGAACTCTATCAGGACATCTTTGTCTTCTGCATTAACAATTTCATCAAAGTTCTCAGCTACCACCACCTGTAAGGTTTGGTCACACCAGTTAGCTCCTTCCAAGTCAGGTACGAGGCTGTGACATGACATGTCCCACACACTCCACCCAAGCCTGGGCCTCCCACACCTGCACTACAAGCAGCAAAACAACCAAACACAGCACTCCTCATCCTCAGTGTGCCAGTAAAAGTTTGCCATAACATACCAGGACTACTTGCAAGTGAGGTCTGCACACGGTCTCTTTGCAGGAGGAGGACAAAACCATTTCTTTTCCGTTCCAGCAAGTTCCAAGCTCAGGAATCAGCCTAGCAAGGGCCAGCTGAGGCCATGCCCATCCCCACAAACACAGTGATTCCCACTCCTATATGAGGGCCTCATCATAAAGCCATGATAGGAAATGCTCTAACTCAGGGCAGAACTGCCTGGGAGGATGAGAGGCAGACCCCAAAGATGAGATGAACACAAAGCTCCCTAAAAGAGTGCAGTCAACCAACAGGAAGGCCGTGCCACAAGGGAACACAAGCCAAGAGAGCAGGCCTTTGCATAATCCCTGGCAATCTGGATGCTGCTGCACTTGTGAAGCACATAGTTGTGCTCAAGCAGCAGTTACCATGCTAAGAGAACAAAACAGAACCCAAACTGCAAGCTGCATGTCTCCCTTGCCTCAGAAAGCTGAAGTGCAACAAGAGAGCAAGTAATTCCTCCATCTATCACTGCAGAGGTTCCCAAGCTTCAACCCTGCCACGCTCACAGTACTCCACACTGGCACAGGCTGGAAGTTGCTGCTGAACAGTCTCCATATCCACATGCAGCACTCACCTTTACAGGGCCGTCATTGCTTTCAGGGATAGGCTCTGATTTCAGGTACTTTTTCAAGTTTCCATCAACGTAATCTTGCAGGAATCTCTCTAGAGCCTTTCCATCACGGCTGAAAGAGAAGTGATATTACAGCCATCATCACACACACAGGACAAGAGAGGGAAACTTTCAAGGCTGATTTAAGCTCCTTCCACCCACACAACACATGCCACCTGCATCTCTGACAGCATCAGTCTAGGCTGACTTAGACCCCAGAACAAGTACACAGAAGCCCTTAAGGACTCTGACAGGAGGCTGGATGCACGTCCCATTTGAAGTTTCAGGTTTCTAGCACCCTTAGGCTTATTTTTTCAAGATGAAAGGTACAACTATTTCCTTTGCCTTTTATTGCACCCTAGTGCCTAACCAGACACTTCAATACCTTTGATTAAATTCCCCCCCCTTTATATAACAGGAAGGGCTTGAAGCTCTCTAGAGAGGAGGAGCCATTTTGACCCAGCAATCATTTCTTCCAACCATATTATTCAGCTTTCCTATTTCCTCCAAGCTAACAAAGTGTCATCTGGTCAGAGACTTGCAGACCACAGTCCATCCAGTGAGATCCAACACTAGAAGTTCAAGAACTCACGAGAACTCTTCTTGCATGACGTATTTATCTCCTTTGGCAGTTCTGATGGCAACAACTGGGGCCTCACCCACGCTGCTGTCCAGACCAAACTCGGAAAGCTCATGACCAAAGGTTTTTCGACTAGCAACAGCATAAGAAAGTTTATGGCCAGCATCCAAGAATTTCTTTGCAACCATCATAATTCTGAAAGGGAAAAATAAACGAAAAGACAAAGCATTATTTCTTGGAACACCTTCCTAGACGTGATGTAACACCCTTCAAGCTGATGGGCATGCTGGACAAGGAATTCAGTGGCACAATGTGCTCTGCAGAGCCCTGTAGAAATGGCCTGAGAAGCAGAGCAGTAAGCTTGTGTCTATGGTGACTGAGATGAGTGTTGTGTGTTTCCATCCTCCACCCTGACCGCATGACCCTGGTGCCTCAGGCATCGGGGAACATGAAGGATGGAGTTGCACACCACAGCTGTGAGGCGGTGTGTGGGAA